GCTTTTGTGCCAATTCAACCAACTCATTTTTCTTCTTCCCAGCACATGGTATACGACGATCAGTTAAATATTTTTTAAATCGGGGACTCGCAGACGACTAAAGTCACAGAAGACCGCCATGCAAATAAGCCTCTCAACGTTCAACGTTCTCCGCTGGTGGCGCCATTATTGCGATGTCGACACCGGAAGTGAGAAATGCGTCTTTCCAGGTTATCCGCCGAGGGCGCACTTTATTGTGAAACGCGAGAATTAGTTTGTTATAGTGAAGTGTTCACTATAATGAAGCATGTAATACTGTGGAATACTTTATTTTCGCTGGAATTAATTTTCGCTGAAAAGGCTTTTTGGGCGCTTTGTGTGGAATTTATTTTCACTGATTTTTGATGAGTTCAATATGAAATATAGGAAAAAAAATATATTCGCTGGATTTTATTTTCATGGAAACATCCCTTCAGCGAAAATAGCGAAAATAAATTCCAAGCGAAAATAAAGTATTCTACAGTACCTTATCTTTGCTTGTTATGACCAGGAGACGTGCAATGTGTTCATTACATCAAGAAATTTGTTATAAAGGTGTTCATTATATCAAGGTTACAATGTACTAAATGAATATACTAAACATGTACTATCAACACAACAAACCCATTCTCTTTAATTTTATAAATATTTATAAATTTCATAATTCTAACTAAACTATACTTTCATTGATTGGTTGTTGGGTTCAACTACCATTGAAATTAATAAATATTCATAAAAATGAAAGGAATTGATTTGTTGTGTCTATATTAATGCATGTTGTGATTCAAGTCGATGTCTGTATGCACTAACATATCGCCGATACCAACATCATCCACCAGGCATCATCAAAAATTGATTCTTAATAACCAAACAAATTCCATAATCTGAAAAATTTCAACCTATGATGGAACTCAAGCAGAATGGGGTGGTCATACCATATTACTGTCAAAGTTGAATGACCATATTCACACAATAGGGATAAATCCTTAATATTGTAGACGAGATTGAGTATAACTTCAACAGCGCCCCCATAGGCCACATTGTAACCGCGATTAGCACCTTCTCACAGACACACAAATTGTATACAACAATACTCTTTGTGGAAGCTATCTGAACGCAATATCTAAATGCCGAATCGAATCGGTGTCCCACCAAACGTAATATACGTCCATATACCAAACATCACAAGATTTACTTTCAGGATTCAGATTCCCTAGTTTATATGAACTAAATTCGCTGACCCTTGACCTAACACACGTAATCACACACAGATACAAATCATTGCTAAACCGAGAACATGCTCTCGGCACAACAAAACCATTCATTTTATCTTAATACAGATATCAATTTCAGTTGAATCCAACCAGCCAGTTAATGGGTGCAGTAAGGAGGGCCAATTTAAACCACTCGTTTGGTCTATGAAATTTATAAATATTTATACAGATCACAGTCTTGAGGGTCGACTGTGTACAGATGAAGGGAACAGGTTTGTTGTGCCGGGAGAACTATCTATACCTCCGGACCGAAAAATGATTATTATATAAAAAAAATACTGGCCAACTATCTACTTACCAGTGTCTCCATTGGTGGGTACGTGAACCATGTGGTAAACCGAATAACTGTATGGTTTGGGAAAGAACGTTCCGTCAATATGCCACCCAGTACGACCAACATTGGTACATCCCTCGGACTCATCATTCGAAACACGAAATATATCTTGTGATGGTGACTTTGGATGTTTATAAAACGCCGACGATTCCAATTCTCCAAACCATCGGCTGATTTGCACGTGTCTCTCTGGTGAAATGTCATGTTGATCTTTGAAAACCAAAATCCGGTGTTCGGTAACGTCTTTTTTTATCTGCGCAATAACTTCATCTGAAACATGTTTTCCTAGATCGATGCCGCGGACCTCGCAGCCCAATTTTATAGGCGTTAGTTTATAATATCCGTGCGCCATCACTGCGGACGTAGTCCTGAAAACGCTGAAGCAACTGACGAAGGTCAGCTTTAGGGACAGTTGACGGAGAAAACCCGGAAGTCGAGCCATTTGAAAAACATGCTGACGCGCACGTAGACCTTAGATGACCTCTCTGCGCTTGTTCTAAATCAGGTGACAATGTGTGTTTGCAAATTAGGTCAATAGTCTCGCGGTCGATTATTCCCGCTCTATTAGTATTTTATAGTAAAAATTTACCTCGCAGCAAATCATCGACTTTCATGATATATATTTATTTGACGTTACAATGACAAGAATTTATGCAGCAGTATAGACACTAAAAACTACAGTTTCTATTTTCAAAATATAATTGTAGCCTTCACGATGTTGGATTTGCTGAGTCATGAAATAACTATCGTCAATGTGACGGAAGACAGCCATTAGGGGATGGGAGCAAAATATACGAACTGTTTAGCATTCATACTGATACAAATTATTTTAATATTGACCTTGAAACGTCTGTGGTAGTAAAAAGCTACAAATGTTAAACCCCTGTCACAAATACATTTATACTAGGTAGCATTTTACTGTTATTCAAAGTACTAAATAGTCACAGTTGATTATTGTGAAAATTACAACCAATTTCACCATCCGAAATTTGAAATAATCACCAACATGCTACTGCATCTTTTCTTAAACACGTTTGACAAAATACGAAGAATTGTTCATAACATTGCTGTGAGATAACAGATAAAGAGCTTGTTGATGGTTTTGATATGTAATTCGAAATAAGAAAAATGCCCAGGTAAATGACAAATAAAACAAAACATTAATTTAGTGGCATGTTTTTTTTTCTCTTTTTGATCTTGAAATAAATAAACTGAAACTTTACATTCCAAGAAAAGCAATTCAATTGATTAGGAGTTGAAACAAAAAATCGCTTTTGGTTTAGCAGTTTTCGGGGAAATTGCAAGTAACGTAACCGTCATAACGAATAGAGTACATACATTTCTTAAGATTCAAAGATACGTGCTTTTTTTGGACTGTGATAAAAACGAAACGAAACGAAACAAAACGAAACGGAGTGACACGCATAAATTAAACTGTAATCAGAGAAAATGGGTTTTATACGCAAATATTGGCCGAAAATAATAATGTTTTAATTAGTAAATGGCTCGTTTTGCAAAAATCTGTACAACACGCACAATATTCACAATTGTAGGACGAAACTTGATCAGTATATTTACCTTTCAGTCGTGTATATAACTACATAAAACATTTGCCGAAAACAATGGGATTCTAATTAGTAAACGGTTCTTTTCGCTAATTACAGATAATCAGAAAACTGTAAATATTGTGATTGACGTGACGAAGCATGTATTGTAAATTGCAAATGACCCCACTGTGATGATGCATTCGTTGTGGAATATGGAAAAAGGGCCCGGGGCATGCGCACTGCATGACGTAGACATATTCATGAATATTATTCAGGTGAAATTATTAATAGAGGGGGGGGCAAGGGTTATTTTCGTTCAACAAAATTGCAATATTTTTTTTGTTCGTACAACGTAAATTGAAAAAATAAATTCCGTAATTCTGTAATCACAGGCTAGACGTACAACGTAATCAATCAAATATTTGTTCGTACACTGTAAAAATGTGTCATTTTTCTCGGTACGTACAAGAATTTACATCCAAATAAAAAAAAAGTCGTAAAGAATAGTCCAGGGGAATTACATTTTCGAAACTGTAAAACGACTAGATGACACAATTCACTGCAAAAATCAATTTTCACTGTAAACTGTAAAAACGTCTTCTTTTCCTTGTAAATTGTAAAAAGCCCCTTTTTATTTCCCGTAAAACTGTATCAGCTACCCCCCTTGCTCCCTCTCTTAATAGAAAGCATTTAGTATGAAACGCCGGAATCACGTATATTCGATCTTCACCCCCACTCTGTATATTGTGGTTATTTGAAGACTGTAAACGCTTTCTATCATACTAAACTGGTCACCAAATTTAACAACTGCTTTTTCGTTTTACAATGAAATCTAAATGGCTCCGCCAAGCCGAAATAGGTCTCGAATACATACAGCGCCACCAGTGGCTGTTCCCGGCTTCATGCGTCAAGATGACAGACAGTGACCGCGTGGTGGCGCCATTTAATAAACAAATTGATGTACTAGCATCAAAAGCAATTATGCAATCAAATAACACCTGGTCATCAATGGTAGTATGGTTTTACAATACTAAGAAAAAAATGCATTTCACACTATTTGTGTATCAGGGTTTATATATATATATATTTATTCAGCTTCAAACAAAGTATGTACACACGAAACAGAGTGCCTTACTGATATTTTTCAAAAAAGTGCTTGATGATGCTGATTTTGGTGAACTCTACTGATATTAAATTTGCCAGTAATAGAGACAAGGTGTAAAATATTAAATTATGACCAACAAAGTAACATCTAAGTGTCTGTTAATAGAATCAGTCAAATTAGAGACTTTCTCGATGTAACAGAAAATATACTGATACAGATCAATATTGTAGGAATATGTATACAAGTCAATTTTACCAGGAAGATGTCTCCAAACACATGCGAGTCCAGATTTAAGTAATTTTATTCATTTTGCTGACACTGATTGACTACATGAATTCTGATGATAATTGGTCCACAGCGGCCATATTTGCCCACTCACATTAAAGCATCCTTTAATGCATACAGTTTAAAAATTGATGTATATTTTGAAATGGCTTTGAAATAATACATAATATTTATATTAAGAATTCAGAAATGAGGGTACGCAACTGGTGTGATATGAATATGAAAATATAAAGTCATGAGAATTGTTCAGAAAATCGCAAGCTTACATTTCTAGAAATATTATGTAGATGAGTAATGTGAATGTTTGTCTTGATCATTTTTTCTAGTGCCTTTGCATATTCGCAACGTATGTTTTACAAGCTTTTGGAATACGCTGATAATCTCATTCACTTCTGCTATCACAATCAAACCTTTCCATGTGTTCTCTATATTCTTCGATGCCATTGGTTGAAATAAGTTTGATTAATGCATGCAGGGAACTCGCGAGGTCATGTGATCTTTAATGCATACCACCGTACAAATGTATCAAATTTGCATATTCTTATCTCATACAATAATTTATTTTTCCAATATCAATACTAAGTCTACACATGTCAATACTGAGTCTATACACTGGCTGTATACATCCCCGCACGTTCAGACTGTTCTAACGCAGATAATATATTACTTTCAAACAGTTCACATCTGTAAAAAAAAAATAAGACAGTGCTTAAATTTCGAATTTAATTAAGTTTCCTGCATTATCATTATGACAACAGGTATTAAGAACTATTATTGTAGCAGTATGGCCACCAATATCTTAACAGCAGTGTTCAAAATATCAACTATGCAAAGAGTCTATATTTAAATTATGTCTATGGGTGTATAGAAGGTGGCAACCAGTTTCCAGTATGCAAATCACACTCCATGGTAGTGTATCTGGTTGAAGTGCTCCACGAAATGGCATGTTTGGTGATTAGAATGCATGGAAGTACTGTAAAATGACTAATTTTCACTGGGTTTAAATTTCGCTGATTTACCATTTCAGGCATATTTAGTGGGTTTGAAATTCACTGTTTTATCATTTAGATAATGTGTTTTATGCTAAATTTTACATATTCGCTGGGTTTTAATTTAGCACATTTTCCAGTCAGCGAAATAAGCAAAATTAAAACGCAGTGAATAATTAACCCTTTTACAGTACTTTATTTTATTTATGGCATACTACCATGAATACATACTTAGAATACAATTATAATTTTGGTTTACAGTTGAGCAAGATTTAAGCACATGGTTTCAAATCGACTTTTAATCACAGGTTTAATTCAAACCAAAATGTTGATCCAAATTTGACTAAACCCTAATATAACAATCGTATGCACAGTAAATGATGTGTGGGCCATTCAAATCACATTTCCCATGATGCACTGGTGCAATCCAAGGCAAATGCGTTTTCTCACCTAATTGGCATGTCCAATGAATAAAATGGATTCTTCAAAGCAAAATCAGAATAAATTTCATAAATCTTTTTTAGTAAACTTTCCACTCCGCCTTGTCTTGGATCTGTTAAAACTATAAATTTTATACCTAAAAAATAGGAATAAAAAAAACGTTGTGTAATAAGGAATTATTATTATTTTATTACGGCATATGGAAAGTGGCAAAATATTGGATATTTCACGTTAGTGAAGGTGAAAAACCCATCAACAATTAATTATGGGTGTGCTCCCATAGTTAATATATACAGCTATGCGCCGCTGTTTTGACCACACTTTTCTACCGATCTTTTTGAACCCCAATTTTAAGATTTTTGGCTATTTGAGAAAAATTTAGTTCATTTTTTGTCAAGAAACGCTAATTTTTGGTGCCATATGTTTCAACCTGCTGAGGTAGCATGGGCAATCATCATCAACCAAGCCGTAAAATGGAACATGAAGCCTGGCTACTCATCTGGTCAAGTTTAGCAAATCAGTTTCACAACACCCGTGATTTGTGTGCCAAACTCACTGGGAAAAGATTGAGTTTAAGCGCCATAAAATTAAAGCTATACAAGGATGGTCATCTTTGAGGCTGTGTTCTCAAGAAGAAACCAAAACTACAACCTTGACACATCGCAGCGCAGTTGCAATTTACAAGTCAACCCATCGAGTGAACTCTGGCGCATTGGGCTCAAGTTATCTGGTCGGACGAATCAAAGTTTATGGTGTTTCGTACCTATGAAAATTTGTTCGTACGTCAGGGAAAAAGGTGAAGAGTATGAGTTGGAGTGTGTTAAATCAACAATAAAATTCGGTGGTGGAAGCGTCATGGTGTGCGGGTGTTTTTTGGATACTGGCTTAGGATCGATATTTGGATATCCTACAAAACAAAATGATACCGTCGGCCCAAAGAATCATTGGACTAGATTTCTATTTCCAACAGTGTAATACCCCAGTTCATACAGCATTGGCAGTGAATAAATAAATTCACAAGACTGTGGATATCTTTTCGGCAACTTCAACGCTTTTGAATTGACCTGCACAGTCTCCAGATTTGAACCCTATTGAGAACCTTCGGGAGTTGATCGATTTAGAGGTGCATTCTCGACCAGTCGCTAACATCAAGGATTTATATGCGGTATAAAAGAAGGTTGGAGACTATTCCAGGTGAACATGTGTCGGAAAACTCATCAACATGTATTATGAAAATTTCATATGAAAAACGTTCCCAAATAGCAGTACGGCCATATGTGCACAGCACCATCTTCTTAACAATAATTGCAAGATTAATTAAAATAAAAAAATATGACATAATATGTAATTACTGTAATCGCTGTATTAGTAGCGTATTTTAATGGAAGTGAACAATTTGAATTTATTTTACGCTGGGTCGTTAAAGATGCAATATGGATGAATAGTATTTTTGTTTGACACTGCTTATTGATAAATACATTGGACTTTGATGTATGATGAAATTAAAAGGTTTTTCTTTTATCACACATCTATATATTCACGAAGCAATGAAATTCTCAAATTTGCATATGCACTGGTTGTGTTGGTACATACAATAACAATCACCGAATATGAATTATTAGCGGTTTTGATTTTTATTCTTACGAATACTGTTGTGTATAATGCAACATTTTGAGTTGACGATAAATCATAATCCGATATGGTCTTTAGTATGGAGTATCGTACAACAATATTACAAAAATGTATGATTTCATCCATCTAGCATCAATAAAATATGAATTAATTTGACCATTGGCACACCTCTGTCATTTACGTAATGGCACATGCACTATTAATAGAGCAAATACAGTATACATATCCATGCTATTGCTATTTTCAATGGTACCAAAATATTGATTTTATTTGGCATAATAGAAAACATGGCTTACCAGTGAGTGTTTGAAAACAATGTAATTTAAATGTATCTACTTCCAACACTTCAATACCTGAAGACCTGACATCCGGTGATAGCTGGCAGCTAATTACAAATAATCTATAAATAAAAGAATATATGGTGATATAAAAATGAAAATCAGTGCCTTATTCTCAAAATATTAATTTTTTAAATCTAATTTGAACAGATATGTTACCCAAAAAGCTAAAAATCCACATACCCTAGTGGTGTTTCCACTCATTAACATTCTTGTTGAATTATTCACTTACAAAAAAGCTCTCCAATATTATAGGACAAATGAGACCAATTTTTCCAACAAACATAAGCCAAAATTTTACTGGCCTGTGATCATACATTGATTAATGATATACCCAACTTTGAAAAAGATTACTTGAGTTATTACGGTCACAAGAAATTGTTAACAACGACAACAACGACAGACATGGTTACCTCTACATCTCGGTTCCATCATTACAGGCAAGGTAATAAAAATGAGAGACAATACTATATATATTATTATATATGATGTATGGAGCTGAGGGGTTAATCATTGAAATCATGGTGGGGGCGGAAGAGAGTTATCAGAGCAATTTTCTGTACATTTTGATTGTTCTTGAATGTGCCATCATTCTCCTCTCAACACCTCTCTGTATCTAGCTTGCAAATTTACAAATCTTCTAACCTCCTCTAAGTTTTAAATGAATGACCCCCTAGGGTAGATACAATGTAAGTGAAATCTATGACTTACGAATGAAACATACTGGCCAACATGATTCGCTCATTTGAGGATAATTTAGGTCTTCCAAACTTGATGGCAATTGGATAATTTTCTGAATCAGCGATGACATCTAATACGTCACGGCCATCTTCTAATCCTCTACCAGTCACTGTCTCACCATTGATTGCCAGTAGTGTATGACCAACTAAAACACAAAATATATCATCAATATGCATGCTTTTATTACTAATGTTGGATCAAGAAATTGTTTTCCCCGTCTCACACATGGAAATTGAAGCTACATTGATGTGTAGAAAACCTGTCACTGACCTCTTTTACATTATGCAGACATTTATTTTCCATGTATCCACGAGTCAAAATCCGACCTCCACCCCTCACCCTCCGTCTTTTAAATGACCCACCCCATAAATCGGGTACACACATCAAATCTGTAAATGACATTTCGGGACGTCTATCGATCAGCTACGGGACATGCATTATGACTGTCAATCACGAATTTTGTTAGCTCCATGATTCGACTAACGCGGTGGTTAATGTTCCCAGTTCATTTAAATAATGGAGAAGCTCGTGACATGATTTATTTTCCGGGTATCCACAAAATGTTACATATTACCTTTGATGCCGTCACGTTGTCCAAAGGATACAACCACTCTTTCATCTACGATCTTAAGAACAAGTTCCAGAGGATAGCTGAAGGTTTTTTCTACTTCTGTTTTAGCTGATGTGTGGTCCATTTGATAAATTAATCCACCAGCTCTATTCACAACATAAACAGCGAAGATCGCCATTTTGAAAAAACGTTCAACAACTGATGGCGCTGTTCATGAAAATGAACAACATTATGCTTGACCATTATGCGTAGGTTCGCTTTTGGGGTCACTTTAGGTTCGCTGAACCATGGAGCTAAAATAAGTTTAGCTCCATGGCTGAACTGTGCGTCAGATCACGTGACCCTTGCGCGTAGAGGCGGGGACCAGCCAACACTTTAGATGGATTCGGCGACTGCTGACATATGAGAAAAAACGTACACATATATTGTCCCCGTGCATTTTATGTCGATTGACGGAGACGGGATATTAGTGATGAGACCAATTTGGCGAATTTTTGTTCACAAAATTATGTTTTTTTTTCTTTGAAACAGATTAAAGCGGGAGGGTCTTCACCTGCGCACGCCCGGGATTGGAGTCCCAAGCGACGATAACATCACACGCTAAGAACACAAAGGCTCATGGGCAGACACTTGTTTGTAAACAATGACACGCTATGGCCATTTGACGCATGCGCAGGTGACGACTCCCCCGCTTTAAAGGTTGAAATCAAGGGAGTTTACACATAAATTGACTTCTTGTTTGCACTTTCTTTAATATACCATAAACTATGTTGTAAAGAACTCAATGACTTTCAAATATAAATATTAGCAGCCGACTCGTCTGGGCATTTTCATTTAATTCTGATATATGTTTCACCGGACCCATATCTGATCCTGTGTGCAAAACGATATTTCAACATGTAAGCTTTTCCTTGGTGAATATGTCCCACCATTTAGCTACCAACACGAAGAATACACATGTGAATGTGTGTATATTTTACTGTGAAAATATGATAGCCATCAATTTGGGATTTTAAGCATTCTTGCGACCCCAAAAGTACAGATAAACCCATTTGTGGTTTTCTGTGCTTGTTTTTTATCTGTTTTTGCTGTCACTATTTTGTTGTTGTTGTTGTTGTTGTTTTTTGTGTAAAATAAATAAATGTATTATAATGTTTGTTCGCCATCCGTTAATAAAAGCTACGCACTGGGACAGCCAGAAATAGAATAACAGAATTGACACAGGGGTAATTTATTCAATATACTAGAGTATATTCAAAAACGGATGTCAATGTCTTGTTCTGACAAACCCGTTCAATGGGTCAAACCAAGGACATCTCGCCATTAGGCTGGCACGGTAGAAGAAGTGTTTCCTTCATTTAGTTGTAAATTAAATTACATGTGAGGGCGATGTTCCTGCACACATTTCGTTTATCTATCAACTGTAACTGTTGATTGCCTGCCTGCCAAATTGGATAAATGTTGCATGGGGAATTATAAATATTCTATATACTAGTATTCGCTCAAATATTAACGTGCAATTTACTATTAATTAATTAATTCATAAACGGTGGTCAATGTCTTGCTCTGACATTTAACGGGTCAAACCAAGGACATCGCGCCATTAGGCACTTTATTTTAATTTACTATTACTAATTCTTTCCATCTCCTCACTTAGTAAAGCGTAAAGACTCCATATTTACAGTTTCACAAGATGCACGAATGACGTTGATTTCTTGATGACTTAAACTCAAATTGCTATTGAATCATATATTTTGCAGGGTTATCCATGGACGTACTAACATGGGCACGTCCATGGGTTATTCCCGTTGATGCTGCAGCAATGCACGACTTTTACCCCAGCACCAAGCATTAATAACTGTAAAGTAGCCACTGACTAACACCAACTCTAATCGTATTTCCATGGTACTAACGCATCGCCAGTACATCCAGGCAATAATAAAATTATTATCATCGGTAAATTTCATTTTTTATCTCAATTTATGCTCTATACTAACAATATTTGTTCGCGCCATTACCAGAGCCATTACCAGTTAAAGTGCTTAAACGAGATCGTAACATTCTAGAACGATTGGTAAGCTAACCCCAAGAAACACAAATGTTGATATAATGTTTTTAAGTCTTGTCTGTCATATAATATCGTATTACATGTACTTGAAATAGTTTGTGGATGTATGGCCTGGTATCCAATGCAATATATAGTTATTAATAACAACTACCGTGCTTATCAAGGTACCCGGGCACTCACCTATTACAGGGCTGGTATAGGGAGTGGCATACCTAGACATCAGTCGTATGCATAGCACGTGTACAAAACAGGTGAATTGGTCATTGTTCAGGTAGCATGGCAGGGGAAACAATTCAACAATGGTTCTCGGATATCGACATCAACTACGACTCTATCCCGTTTATTGTATACTCCGTACTCATAATATCGGTAATATCACTGGTAGCCATATGGTGGTTGCTCCGTATCACCGATCTACCACCTGGACCACAAAATGGTCCAATCACGTGGATTAAGCTTACGTTTAGTAAGAAATACGCCAATAATCGATTTAATGATTGGTGTAAAGAGTACGGCGATCTATTCAGAGTACGCATGGGAACCAAACACGTGGTCGTACTAAACAGCGTCGATGTAATCAAGGAATGCTACATAAAACACCAAGATGCGTTTTCAGATAGACCCAAATGGTGGCCAGCTACACGCCTCAATCAAGGACTAGGTAAGAATAACCCGTCATATATAACATACTTAAATCTAATAGATATACGCAATAAATAGTATAATCAAAGATATACGAGACGAGATAAGTCAATTAAGTATTACAATCTTATGGTAATAGGATATTTTTCTAATTTCACATAGAAAAAATAAAAAAATAAAACAATTGTCAAACTACAAATAATTCCATTAATAAAAGAATAATTTTGTTTTATAGAATATATTTAAGTTTAACAAATTTTTAAATATAGTTGAAAGCGACATCGCGTTTTAACGGATGCATGGCATAAATCGGCAAACGACCGGAAGAAAGCTGCAAAGACTCATGGGTGATGGGTACTAGTATTACCAATCGGGAAGGTCTTCCAGGATACATGTTAATAAATAAATGTGCATGAAAACATTCATGTCTTTATGAAATTCACAGTAAATTTTTAATAATGCAAATAAATCAGTTTAGATATGACTTATTATTTCTTTGTACATATAGGCAATTAGTTTTGTCAATACCGTGTAATTACTTGTGTCGACTAGCTTCATAAACATTGTAGTTTTTACGATAGATAATACAACCATTTAAGACAAGATGTATTCTCTTTATCTTGATTCTGTATACAGTTCAAATTATGCGATAATAGGAACCTTGTTTTCTATATTATTACATTCTGTACATTTATATTTTATTTATATTCGTATCTAACTTTCAGCTCTAGGAACCAGGCCTTATGGAAAGGCATGGATGCGACAACGTGCTTTCACCTCGAATGTTTATCGAAACTCTGGACAAAGTAGAAACGTCACATTGGAAGAATCCATTCAACAAGAGGTAGTCAATTTCATTGGTGCTTTGAAGAAAATGAGAGGGGAAGCTTTTCATCCAAATCAACTTTTTTGGAAGCCGTCTGTTAACGTCATTAGTAATATTATGTTCAACAATCAGTTTGATTACCGAAATTATTTTTTTGAGAAAATCATACAAAGATTGAATGAATTTGACGTAGAACTGAAACGCAGTGAACCAATCTTTACCTATATCCCGTGCATGTGGTACTTCATGCGAAGCAGAAAAAACGCGTTAAAAGTATCTTATAATAATCTGACCGACTCCTTTTCCAAGATCATTGAACAACAAAGAAGTACATATCACAATGACGTCATCCGACATGGTTTTGATATGTTCTACCGTGAAGTTAAAAAGAAAGAGAACAGAGAAAGAAGTGTGTTCGAATCAGACAGACGATACAACGACAGCTTTCTCCATTCATTTGTCGAGCAATTCTACACCGGCGCTACACCGATGGCGAAGGCAATGGAGAATATTTTTATGCAAGTGGCACAGCGACCGGAATTACAAGAAAAGATTGCCAAGGAAGTAAAAGAAGCCGTGGGTCAAGATAAAACACCAACTGTGGACGATCTGGACAATTTACCGTTGACCAATGCAACTGTACTGGAAATCTTAAGATGCTATCCCGTAGAAAGTTACTGCTGGCCAAGACATGCAAATCAGTCAATACCTATGAATGAATGCACCATTCCCAAGGGTGACGTCATTTTAGCTAATTTGAATGGTATCCTTAGAGATCCGAGATACTGGAAGAACCCGGATGAGTTCGACCCCAACAGACACATTGATAAGACTTCCGGTAAACTGGACGTCAACCAAGCATTATTGCCGTGGTCTATAGGTAAGTTATTGTTGTAGTCTGTGATAGTTCAATTTGACATTGGTACATTTTATGCTATGATCATGCGCAAAATGTCGGATAATATTTTCAGATTTACCTTCATTCGCCATTGTTCAGAATAACTTTGAAACAGAGGCGATTATTTGTGAATCTTACTGTCAGAACAGTACCACGATAAAATAGAAATCACTAAAAATTGAACTTTTAGCTCATGCTAGTATTTCCCTACCCCAGACCATTTGTCCCGGTGTTATCGCTATCGCCACACGAGACTCCAGCTTGTCTCCTATACAATTTGACTGCGCACATCCAGAAAGTAGATGTAGCTGTGATTGGTGGAATACTAATGAGTTGAATGTCAATCAAACGCCCACACTATCTAGTAAACAAAGTCACGTGACACGCGCCATTTTAGTTTTGATTAGTTCATCGGATCGGAGTGGTCGGGCAGGCGATTTCAAGGCAGCACGCTTAACCCTTTCGTTCACAGGTTGGGAGATATTAGAATGACTGACAATTTCACGCCACTGTTTTACATTATTGGCGGATTTTTCTGCGCTATCAATCTTTCTCTTACAAACTAGACATAGATGAGACGACAGAGTCGCTCCTTTCACAACGTCGCACTGGATCAAATTGGAAAGACGATTTCCATAAGTTATCCCTCCTGCTTTTCCTGGCTTGAATAAATTCACACACGACTTTAACTGTCCACAAACTCGAAGACTACACGAACACAGTCTACAATAGTCGTCCGCAACAATATGTATGTATTTCTTCGGTGTACTGATGCACGAATGCACCGTGACACGGTGTTTCTCGGGTGTCGCCGGCGCAATTTTTCACCCAACTCGCGATTCTGTTTTGCAACATTTTATCAATATTCCCTTTGACAAAATCGCCGACAAAAGCACAGCTTTGCTGATCTTTTGTTCTATAATTCTTAATGCAAACACCGACCCTAGTAGTAATTAGTAACGTCGCTTAGTACATATGAACGGTCGTCATTGCAAATCGAACATCCTTTTGAAATTTGGACGTCGGGCAGGCGATTTCAAGGCACCGCACTTAAATATTAGCAACATATTTTTCTGAGCGGTTGTTTATTCTCTTTCAACGAGACATAAATGTGACGACATAGTCGATCCCTTATCCACCGCTAAGAA